AAGTAAGACGAGGAGGGTACTGATGCTGGAGAGGTAGGATGCTTTCCTCTCCGGTCGTATTGCAGTCTTTCTTACAAAACCGTCGGCTAGCATTAGCTTGTACCGCGACCAAGATGTGCCTATTACAAAAGCGTGCGTGGCACCGAAAACATACTCAGGCTTACTAAACATGATGTATTGTATGTTTCCAACCGTCTCCTCGCTTCTCGGTCATTTACTACCAACCATTCAGTCTACCGGACTCCTTCAATCTCATCAACAAACCGGACCAAACCAAAGCAACGTGCCACAATAACCATTGCCCGTCAACGTTCAGACACAGGTTAGGCCGCAATACTGTTTCGGTTGGTCTGCGTCTATTTTTCGGCAAAAATACATGAAAATAACCATCATATCCACTGCCCTAACTCTCACTGTAATAATTTCGGGGTGCTAAATTTACCTTTGCATCGACACACATGGCTTTCTCCGTCTCACAACACTGTACGATTACAGGAAACGGCCAGGGAAGAGCAGGAACTAACATTCTTGCCAGAGAAAGCGTAGAGCGCGTGCCCCTCGAATGCTATCAAAACGTGATTGGTCCGTTTTCTCCCGAGCCGGCAGCATCCGGCTATTTCATTGGTTTGACGAGCTATCCGTCATATATACGGCCGCTTTTGGGCGGGATGAGAGCCATAGTTTGATAGAGAAAACAATAAATGCGGCCTAGCTGGGATCATTTGACTGAGTGATCTTCAACATTGCTGTTTTACTGCCATGGATGCTCACGTTAGAAAGCGCAGGCCTTTTAGAGCTGACTGGAGAAAAATAGACGGTGTTTTAATCATATCAAAGCCTTCATGGGCTGCATTACCAAACAGGCCCGTTTGTAAATGACACAGTCAGTTTTTTTCAGGGTTTTATTACATTATCTTCCCCATTGGAATTATCCTCATCCTGTGATATTTCTTTATTACTTAATAAAATATACATCCAGACCCCGAGAGCACATCGATGGATCTTTATTCATAACTGTTACATTCTGAGGTATCAACCACAGCTTTCTTTTAGGCACCGATGTGATGATTTGTGTGCTTCCATTAATGATACAGCTATGTGTGATTGGGGTGGCGCCCTCTACTGACCGCGCACTGAAATATGATTATTGGCCGTTTTGGCTCCTTTATTTTATTTTATTTTATTTTATTTTATTTTATTTGGCTTTTTTTCCCCCTTTATGTGGTTTCACTTAATAACAGTCACATATTCGTCTTTAGTGAGGTAGTTTTACACAGTGAACCACTATTTCAAATAGTGGTTCACAAAATTTAAATAAAAGAAGGGTATTTTTGGGAAATTTAAATTATCCACTTCTTCCACATGTCTTTAAATTTAATCTCCTGAAGCCTCACTGAAAAGGTGAGTCTTTCCATTACAAAGATTTCATAAATGATATCATACCAGTTGTCTATGGATGGGGCATCTGGCTGAAGCAATTTCTCTGTAATTGTTTTTCTAGCAGCAACACCCAGTATCCAAATAAATATTTTGTTTTAATATTTGTAGGTGCTGAAAGTAAAGTCCAAAAATGTAGTTCATCCCACTTAAATATAATTGTCATTCTAAATATAGTCACTAATTCTCTATAAATCTCACTCCAAAAAGCATTTACTTTTGGACAGGCTCAAAATAGGTGGCCCTCTGGGAGCCACAATTCCTCCTGCAGTTGGCATTGCCTGAGTGGTGACACCTCTGAGCAGGTGTAATAAAATATCTACTAAGACTCTTCCAGCCAAACGCTCTCCAAACAGTCTAACATGATATCTTCCACTGAAATTCACAATATTCCATCTAAACTTCTTCTGGGATACAGCAGTTAGTTTCTCCCTCCCATTTTTGTTTTTATATAGGTGGCACTTGCTATCTTAACCTAGCCTGTCATTTTTTATTTAAAGGATGACCAGGTTATCAAGCTAGGGGGTACCTGGGCAGAAATTAGCTCCTCATTAAATGAATTTATGCATTTAATAATATGCACTACATAGGAAAAAAATAAGATGAAATAATTAAAGTCACATCTAGATTTGATACAGGACCTCTCTTAGGAACAGCGCCACAAGATCAGGTAATGATATGGATATATTGAATATTAATGACATAACTACAAACTAATTGTTGCACAGGGTCTTGCAGCTTTTGCAGGTCTAGGTCTGGGGTCCCAGAACAATTTGTCAGTCTTGCATGGCTGGTAATCTAGCTTTGATTTTTATATCATATTTACTATTTCTGTTCTCCTCAACTTAAATGTTACAAAGATGTATGAGCTTTGAAATTACCTAGTCGAAAAATCAAAAATTTTGGGAAAGGCCTTAATTTTCTGAACAGGAACAAAGGTCAAGTGTGAGTCTGATACAAGGGCGACAGACAGAGATGGAGAAAGAGAGAGATGGTTATAAACCAGGGAAGCGTAAGTGACAACATGTGACAGTACACCACACTTCATCCATGGCAGCCCTGTAGAGAAGAGCCTGCCTGCTCGCCAAGGCCTCCATCTGTCTGTGGCCCGGCGAGGAGTATCCGCTATTCACCACACTTACACTCTGCCCCATGCTGGTCTGCTTGGTCCACGCCAACGCTAACTCTGCTGGTGGGAGCTATATTTACAAACAGCTGCTGTGGCACTGGGTACGCAGACCACAAGAGGAGGGAGAAATATTGTTTTGCGTCACGTCCCTAGAATATTACACTATCAACTCAATTATTTCTGTATGTTCGTCTAGCATTGACTCATAAAATGTCTGAGAATGTTTGTGGAGAGAAATATTTGACAATGCACACATAAAAGCCTTAAATACTGAGCCAACTTTATTTAATTTCAATATTTTCTCCTCAATAGAAATTTCTGTGTAAATAAACATTTGTTGCAGGAGATTAACAGGCATATAGAGGAGCATCAGTCGTACGACACAGCAGAGTAAAGGGCAAGTTTGGCAAGTCTGTTAGCTAGACAGGGTGCCATGTGGAGCACAGCAATGTTTCCAACACTTAGAATGAAAAAAAAAATCTTTGCACAGAAGCCCACATTGCACATGGCTACTTCATAATTTTGTCACATTTAAAGTATCTCTTATACAAACCAAACAAATATTTATTCACAGAAACAGAGCAAATTAAATCCACAGGTAAATCATTTTTACTGAATGTTTTTCCACTCCTGGTTTTTGGTCTTGAGTCAGAATGATTTTTGATCTGCACAATCTTCATCTCATTTTTGCATAAATCACACCCCTCAGTGCACTGTTTAAAGAGTTACAGATTTAAGCCTTCCTTTCCTTCCAACAACTTTAATTTTTCTCCACCTCATTCTCACTACTGCTCTAACCAGTTCTCCTATCACGCTTCCAACACCTCAACCACCTTAGTCACAGGGGGAAGACCAAGAACCCAGAGAAGGTAGAGTACTTCCAGCCTCCCATCAGGTTGCCTCTCTCCAGTCTGAGGTAGGCCTTGTCCCCCTTCTCCATTATCACCAGGCCGGCATTAGTGGCAGCTTCCCTGGTCACATCCTGGTCCCCAGCAAAAGCTGAAATCATTGGCCAGCCATTCAACATTAAGCTGACCTAAGAGAGAGCAAGCAAAGGGATTAGAGAATGCAAGTCGCTCGACTGCAAAAAAAACTATTAGTGTCATAACTGAGGTGTGGTACCTGAATAGTTTGTCTATTGTAGGCCTTTACAACATGGAAGTTGAAGCTATACACGCCTCTTCTTGGTGCCAGGAAGACACTGCTTTCTTGGTCAAAATGAGTGCCAACGTTCACCAAAATCTGACGCAACACCAAGGGAGGGAGAAAAAGGAGGACAGCACTTGGGTCATTCTTTTTGTCCATGCAGTCTGAGCTCAGATCCAAAGTACTGAGTCATCTTTATGACATTTCCAAAAAAAGCACATACCTTCCATGAAAATGCGGCACGACTACACTGTGAGTCTAAAAGTTCAGTGTTTACCTTATTAGCATTTTTCCTCGCTGTCAGAATTCTAATTCTAATTCTATATGCATCTCATTGGCAGAAGACTGACTACAAAATACTGGAGTACAGCTTTCAGGAGGGGAAAACTTATCAACTTTATTTTATAATAACACTGTAAAAATATCCTTACGGGTTTTATTTGAACTTCAAAACTATTTACTGTAACTTAAAGGAGAACACCACCTAAATTAGGGATCTCCAGTATGGTATTTCCATTGCCTAGGGAAGTTCAATCAATTTTTGTGAACATGAGCTACTCTCTCTCAAAGCCAGAAACCGGAGAAGCATGTCTCAAACTTGTGATGTCATCAAGTATAAAGTCTGGAGCTGCTCCATAGACGATAAAGGAAAGTGATTTTGTGGACCTACAGAAAGTTTATTTTCTTTTTTATACCCAAATTAGCTTTATTATTTTGTAGTGTTCTCAGCTGTGAAGCAGAAAATGTACCCATATACTCAGATCATTCCCCTGGGTGCTCTCGGTGTCATCTAGAACATCTCTCACCATTCTCTGTCTATGGAGCAGCTTCAGACTTTGTTCTTGATGTGACCTCACAAATTTGAGTTTTAGGATTCCAGTATTAAGATGTGGGAGAGAGTTGTTCATGTTTACCAATATTTTTGGAATGTTAAACCATAGGAGTAACGTGTATGAATTTTGGAAAAGGGCATATTTCCCCTTCAAAAACACATAAGCATACTTACATTATCAAAGTAGATGATCATGGTGCGGTTGCTCATGTCCGTGGGCTCGTGGTTAGTCTGGCGGCTGGCAGAAAAGGCCACCCGTCCGGAGCCAGAGCGGACCGACATGCCCAGGGCATTACCGGCAGGCTCGGATGAAGGAGTGGAGTCACACACGACCAAACATTTCCCCTCAAGAATGATAGGCTCTGTGTCATTCTGGCCCTGAGACTCCACAAGCCCCCACAACAGGAGCACACCCAACAGTATGGAGAGGTCGACGGTGACAAACCTGGGGTGCATGACTGAACCTGGGATGTTTAGCCGATTATCTCTGATTGATTCTAATGTAGAGAAGTGTCACTTTGGACAACTTGAAATGTAAACAAACATGCTACAGAGAAACAAATGGTCTTTGTGAAAATGTTTCAAACTTTAACCTCTATGTAGTTTTGGTTGGTACCAGCTGAAGGATATTAATATGCACCCAGGCAGCGAAAGAACCAGCAGATGGGATAATATTCAGAAAATACTCAGAATTCTTCATTGGCCATAGCTGTCAATCATTCCCTTTCTGTCTGTCTTTTTTTGTTTGCCCCCACAAATCCCAAATCTCTTCAGTGTCCTACGTGCTGTGTCAGCAGGGGCCAGAATGACAATCACAAAAAAAAAAATCTCTTGGTATTTTCAAGTTGATTTCTTCAGCAAAAAACCTGACAAGAAGGCAGAGGAAAAGTTAGCTGGCAAAAGGGAAGAAAGGTTTTTAAAAACAAGGTGCAGTGAAGCGTGCGAAGATCCGAGTTTAGACTATAGCTGATGCAGATGGAGGGAAGGATGGGGTGATAAAAGATGCTGATGAGAGGTGAGGAAACAAAAAAACAGATGAGGTAAGATTCTGGAGAGGTGACAGGGAAAGGATGTAGGACCCAGAAGGGAGTGAGAAAGAGAGAGGGTGTGGGGGAACAACTCCACTGAGTGACCATCTGTCTCCTACACGTACCCCCCTCCCTCCCAACGTTGCTCGACACGAATTCCCTCACACAAACACACACACATACACTCTCTCACTTGTGCTTTTGTTTCACACTTACGGACACAAATATTAGTAGCTATACATAAAAAAACGTCACCTTTACTTTCTGCATTTTTCTTTTATTTTCTCTCCATGTTTAACAGCCTTTCTGTGTTTAACTCATAAAAATTAAATGTTTAGTTGGGGATTAGAGTCATTTTTGACCTCATGTGATGCCATTAGGTTTGGAACAGTACATCTTAAGACACCATTCACATATGTCTGACTGAGATGAGCAACAGCATGTGTGAAAACATCCTTTTCTTAGCTTTGATGAAACTTATTTAATTGCACACAAATACAGCTGCTTTCTGGTTGGAGAAGGATTCACATTATTGCAAACCAACTATTCTTCTTAAAACAAGTGCTCTAAAATCACCCTATTTTCAATGTACAGTACAATCCTAGCATTTTAAGTCAATAAAAAAAACTGATGATCACCTGTTTCCTTCTGAACAATCTTGTATTCCATATCAGGTGAAAACAATTGTTTCCTCACGGCTGGAGTACCGTTGTGTGGTCAAAAATAAATCCCCGTTCTCTTGCTACCCTATCACATTATTTCACAGCAAGGTAGTCAGTCTGATCGTAGCCAAGCCAGAGTATGCTCTGATCTTTCTCTCTCTCTCGCTTTTCCCTCTCCCGCTCTCTCTCTCTCTGTGCCACCCCCCTTTCCTTCTGCTTCTTTCTCACCCTCTATGTAGCATCCGCCTACTCACCTTTATACTGAAATAAAGAAAATGGGAAAATAATTGGGTATCTGAGCTGCTTCAAAGAGCAAAGTTAGCAAGTGAGTGGCAGTTGTTTTCCCTTTTTTCTTTAATACCCAATCAAATCAGTCATTCCTTTTTGTGTCTTCAAGCTGAGTTTAAAAAGGATCAAATGCATCTTCATGGGAAACTCCACCAATGCTTTATAAAGCAAGGTAGCTCCTATCAAAAAAGATCAGACTAATCAGACTGGATTCACACGATATAGCATCAGTTTCTCTGTGGGGACATTATTTTAGTGTTTTTTTGAGTGTATGAATACATAAACCAACCTGATAAAGATACAACTAATACACACATGAATGTTTTTACAAAATTCAGCTTTCAGTCAAACAGGGGCAGACCATCAGAGATGCTTAACAAAGGACAGGATGAGTTAATGTATAGTTTCAAAAACATCTGACAAAATTATTTATGACATCAAAACAACATTTACAACCTTCTTTAACATAATTGTAATATCTTAAAATCAGTCATCTACAGTATGATTTCAGGGGAATGAAAAACACATTAACAGTGCAATTTTGTCAACAAGGACTATTTTTTGCCCCTTTTAAAAGGAACCTCTTCATTTGCTGTCCCACTATAGGATCCCTTCATGTTCACTCACTGAACGCTCCATTTTCAGTTATCTGTGATATTTCCATGTGGATATCAGTCGATCACAGTTTTATAAAGTATGGTTTTGTCTCTTTAATGAGGACAGATGAGCTGAGGCTGATATCTGAGGGGAGAGAAACATCAGAGTGGCTCAAAGTTCCATGTTGTGTGGCTCCAGAGGTGAGGAAGTAAACCAACACCCCTTTGTCTTCGCATGACTTTGTCAAAGTTAAACCAGCATGGTGCCCGTCGGTGGGATTTTCTCCACCTCAGACTTTGATGATAGTAATGTGACTGTTGAGCTCAGCTTTGTAGAGTCCAAAGCCCAAGCAAACCGGCTCAGTGAACGTGGTGGTGAAAGTGTGGAGGTGGGTCAGATTGTTTGATGGTCCCAATTCAGAAAAGGTGATGGTGCCTGCGCCGTAGTCCACGGCAACAGCAACTCGGTTGCCAGTCATTTGGTACGTGAGGCGGGTCTTCCTGCGGTTGTGCCAGGCAGCCAGCTTCTTGTCATGCTGCTGTGTCAAGCTCCATGACACCTGGGAATTTAACGAAGACATTTTAATTATGGAACATGTTTTCCTTTGGGTTCAAACTAGAACTAAAACAATGGGTCAGTCGTTTTCTAAAGCAAAATAACAAAAAATCAAGATGTAAAGATTTGCTGTCTTTCTCTGTTGTCTTTGATAGTAGACCAGGTTATGTTTAGGTTTGAGACTGCTGGTCAGACAAAAAAAGCAATCAGAATTGCACTTTGGGAAATTGTATTGGGAATCATTTTCAACTATTTTCTGATATCCTATAGACCAAACAATTAACTGTGACATTTGCATCATATTTAAATGGTTAGCTGCTGTCAACTTAACAGCTACTGTAGGTGGCATATATACCTTGTTGTTCCCAAAGGCATTGCCCTCTTTCCCCTTCCGTCCAATACTTCTATAGCAGACACCAATATCCCAGAATCCCTCAACCTTCAGCTCCCAGTAGTGTGTCCCAGAGCTGAAGGTCTGGGTGGCGAGGACCTGTGGCCAGTGGTCGAAACGTTCAGGGTGAGCGGCGCAGGGCAAGCGGTTTTTGACCCGTGTCACTGAGCGAAGGTCGTCAGAGATGCTCAACAAAGGATGGGCCGTGTTAGTGTCCAGAGACAAGGGACTGGTTACTGTGTGAGAGATATAAAATGAAGTAAAAAACACAAAACAAAACAAATACACACAGTTGTCTTCTAACTGACATTGGTGGATAAAACAGAGCCTACAAATATGGAGCAAAGCCAGGAGACCATCAGAGCCAGGCCAGCCGTTTCCCTGTTTCCAATTTTAATGCTAAGCTAAGCTAACTGGCTGCTGGCTGTAGCTTCATATTTAATGAACAAGTATGAAAGTGGAATCAATCTTGGCATCGAACTAAGAAAGCGAAAAAGCACACTTTCAAAAATATGAAACCAATTATTTAAAAATCTTAAATAAAGGATTTAGGGGAATCTATCAACAGAAATGGAATACAATAATCATAAGTATGCTTTCACTGGTGTACAATCACCAGAAACCAAGAAATGTTGTGTTTTCATTTGCCTAGAATGAGCCCTTTATATCTATATAGGGAGCAAGTCCTCTTCCATGGAGATCACCATGTCGCACTGGTTCTAGAGAGGGCCTTCATGTTTATATGTTGCCTGAGGGTTACCGTAGGCTGTCAACATGCTTGGATGATGAGGGGTGAAGGTAAGGGATTTCACTTGGTTACAACCTACAACCCCACAGCTAGATGCCACTAAATCCTACACACGGCTCCTTTAAGAAAGTTCAATAAATGGGGTGGGTGTGTGTCACCCATCTGCAACTTACAGAGCTCCCTCTTGAGTTCACTGAGGCAGCGGAGGGTGCCGGTGATGAATCCTCGATATTTGCTCTCTATGTCCTCCAAGATGTGTTTTCTGTCCAAATTTATGGCATCAGGGATGAAAAGTGGGTTGTTCAGGTCAGCTAATAACCTAGAATACAAGAGCACAACATATACTGAAAACTATCTTGTTAAAAGGCTTATTTTCTTCCTGGTTTTATGTCTCGTTGTCTTTTCTATCTCATAACATAACATACATACAAAGACTGCCTACATATACACACACACCAACACACCTAGCTCCACTAACTTGTTCTGGACTTACTTTGTGTCATCTGATTGAAAGGCCTGAGGGGAGAAGAGTGAGGACATAGAACAATTAATTTACTGAAAATATAACAATGTTCCTGTGTATCTGTCCGGCTGCATTAGAATGTAAATAAACACAAATTTAAAATCTCACTCAAACATATAATTAACCACTTCTGTAGCCCTGTACATTTTATTAGGTAGATACGTACCTTCTTTTTTCCACAATATATGAGCTTATACAACAATAATTACAACATTTGTAGTAAACATACTTGTGGTTGTGCTATATATTATGTAAAAATATACTATAATAAGCTAAAACTGTTGGACGACAGCATCTTCTGATGAGCCTTTAATGGAGCCCATCAACGTTTTACCATTAGTGATAGTGTCCTATATCAACACCTTATAATTGTCAAAGTTAAACAGTTTTGGTTATTTCCCACAAGATACACTGTCTGTGCTGTTTTGCCTGTTTTCTTCTCACTAGGTTGGACTCAGTTTGAAAGTGGTGACATCACTAACCACACCCATATATATCAAATAATCCCTGTGCCACACTGAATTCAGGAAGAAAAGTCTGTTGTTTTTTGTTTTGCATGCCTCCACAGTGAATGAAGAATCAAAAAACAGAGAAAAATATTGAAAAATTGGAGTACAGGGGGTCCGCAATTAACAACAGACAAACTACATCACAACATCTGTTAACACACTCTCACACAACTCATGCAGCATAATCCAAGTCTCATTTATCCAGTCGTATGCTCAGTACTTCCCAAACACATGCATATTTACTAAAACGTGAATATTTAAAACACTCAGTCTCACGCACGGGCCAGTCGCAAATCTGGGCAGCCGTGTTCATTTGAGCTCTGCTCAATGGAATGCATGAGCAGAGTTTGACCACATGTGCTTGCCGATGTGTGCTACTTGTATGGAGAAGTGTTTTACATAGTAAGTTCCCCTTTTACTCCGACTCATGGAGAATTTTCTCTATTTTTGGTTTCTTTATTCACTGTGGAGGCATGCGAAAAACAAGAGAACAAGAGAAATAATGAAATGAAATAATGAAAAATAAGTTTTCAGGGGCTTTGAATTTGTCCCCTTTGTTCACAGCAAAGTGAAGAACTTATGAAAATGGTCATCTGTTCAGTGTCAGATGAGGTGAGATATGCCACGTAGGACAACATAGTAAATACCAGCAGGTTGTTTTTATTTGGTACTTACCAAGACACAGGTGGGAAACTAGAGCTTTAACAAACAAGACTATAAAATCTACAGCCAGACAAGTGGCTCTGTACTTGGCAACATGCCCACAATAACAATTTCAATGTTTTTTAGCAAAAGTAATGGTTACCATGTTCAGTTTGGCATTTTATCAAGCTAACATTTGTTAATAAGCACCAAGTGCAGAGTACAGCTGAGGCTGATGGGAATGCTGGTTTTGGGTGCATTTAATCATAACTCAAAGTTATGGGCAAATCTAAAATTTGACCAGATGATGGCGCTTGGGGGAAATCCTGAAGGGTTTATGAATGCCTGTCAACACATTTCACTCAAAACCAAAAATGTCAACCTCATGGTGGTGCTAGAGGAAAAGTCAGACCAGCCAAAGTTAGTAGAACTCATGCTCTGCAAAGCTCAAATGTCTCTACAAAATGTCATACCAACCCATCCAATAGTTATTGAGATATTCAAGGTTGGACCAAAGTGGTGGACCGTCCATCTAGTCTTGCCACTAGTGTGGTTAGCTGAAGGATAACTGATTCAGCTGGGTTAAAATGTTTATTTCCACAGCTGACATCACTGTATCATATTATTTGTGGTGGCTATGTATAGCAGAGTATCTGTTCAGCAGCAAGTCTTACCCAGATGAGCAGGAAGGGGTCAGTCTCTGCCAGCAGCAAGGCCAGGTAACGCTGGATGTTCAGTACCTGGTTCATGTCCCCTTTCACCTTGGAGCAGTCTTCATGCACACGCTGTATGACCTGCTGTCTCTCCCTCTTGGTGATCTCCTTCAGATCAGTCACCAGCTTCCTCACCTGGACCTGCAGGTCTGAGCCCAGCCGCTCCACCTGGGTTTCATCCTGCTTCAGAGAGTCCTGAAGAAAGATTGATGAATGGTGCCAGTTCAGTGATTGAGACATAATCAAAACATCTGATCCAATTGAAAAATTGATCTGTAGATTGAGGCCAGTCAGAGGGTTATGCATGGAAAGGATTTCAATTTAGGATCCCTTGTGGGTCATAAATTAAGCAGTACAGGGTGTACAGATCATTTACTGAGAGAGTCATTACATTGCATTATGTATTTTCACTCACAGCCATGGTTGAATCAATACTCTCATGCTCTTTGAGGATTCGCTCTCCATCTTTCAGCTTCTCCTCTGCTTTGCTGAGCAGTGTCTGGAGAATAACCTGTAGAATCACACATGTATGAGCAGACACACACTCATACACAAACAAAAATAAACACACACATGGTTGTCCAGCTGACCTTCAGATCCTCTTCTACTTGTTTCAGGGCTTTCACTTTGTGCTGAGCATGCCCTCCATCCAGCAGACAGTCACCACACACGTACACCCTCTCGTCAGCACAGTAGTAGCGCAGTATCTCTGTGTGTGTTGGGCACCTTCGCTGGGAGAGGTCCCCAAGTGGATCCACCAACAGGTGGGTGCTGAACGCAGGTCTCTCCAGATGGGGTTGAAGGTGTTCGGCACAAAGCGACACTTCACATCTCAGGCAGGTCTTGACAGCCAACGCTGGCTGCCCCTCTGATGCCTCGGGTGGGCAGCAGTCACACAGCACTTCTCCATGCTCCTCCTGACACTGGGGGCAGGTAAAGCGACTCTTGCCCTCTTCCTGGACGGTCCAGGCCTCGCGGATGCAGGCCGGGCAGAAGCTATGACCACAGGGCAGGGGGTGAGCTTGGCTGAAGAAGTCTCGGCACACAGAGCAGGTCAGCTCTTCGTCTAGGGATGCCATGGTGAGCAGATGGGGGGTCCCTGGTGTGTTCGTGTGTGTCACACAAGTCTAAAAACTAAACACTGGATACACACGAGATAAAATCAAAAACATGCTGATGATTTGGTTTGCTGTCAGTGATTGTACCTGCTGAGAAAATGTAACCAGACATCACGTTGTTGGCCTTCACAAACACCAAATGAAAGATGCTGCCACAAGTTACATGCTGCTGTTACATGTAAGAATGCCATGATGAGTAATAAGACAGCTAGTACTGAGCTGATGACAAGGGGGAAGTCCTTGTTTCACTCCAACTGTGCACACAGACCAGTAATCCTGTCTACTGGGCTTCTGCCTACCGTGCTCTATGAATAGCACTTAACACTTAACAACTACTATTACTGGGAAAATGTGCGGAGGTTGGACAAAAATAACACCTCATAACTATAGGGAAGGAAGCAGGCAATCAATATGTAAAAACAAAAAAAGCCTTGCTGGCTATCACAGTGAAGGTAAATGGTGGCAGATGACCCCAGATGAACGTTAACTCGACTCAGACCCAAGCACAGGGGATCAGGAGATCATCCTTGACAGCTTGTTGGCCTGATTTATTCTCTACATGTGCTCTGCTTTTACATGTTTAACCACCAACTCACATACTATACGTTCATCGCAATTGAATTAAATGAGAATTTAAAATAAATGTCTAGAACAAAAGTGGGATTTCTTACCTGTTGGAGCCCTGGTGTGTGCAGGCTGTGGCCATCGGAGAGCGCGTGTGTTGTGCGTCTGTTTGTTGACTGCGGAGGCTAATCCCAACAGATTCACCTCCCCGGGGTGTCTCCACTGGACTCAGGGAGGTCACATGACCCTGGGATGGGAGGGGGGCGTGGGAAAAATTATTAGGTAACTTTGAAGTAAACTGTTCTCAGAAGACTTGTCTCATTTATTTTTATTGAATACTGTTTGTACACATTAAACCACTCTGACATCAGCTCAGTTGTTTTTATGTTGTCAAATGAATTTTCTTTCTATCTCATCTTTTTAAACTGTATGGCAGTGGTCCTACTTAACACATATTATAAGACACTGTGAGTGGGGGGAAAAAATCATTTTCCCTCTGTCTATGGCGCAGGTCTTTCCTGACTTGGGCATGTACATCTTTAACTGCAGCCGCACACAGGAGCCCTGGTTTACTTTCACTACCTTGAGGATTTAACTGTGAATTTCCAAGCTATCAAACTTACAAGATGAGTCTCACATACTTGAGAAACCAGTCTTTTTTCCATAGGCCTTAAAAACTATTTCAGGCTGATACTGTAAGCATAGATTAACAAATGCTCCAGGTTGAAGGCAACAAGATAAAAAGAAAGTACAGGATATCCACTGCATGTAAAGGGACTGAATAAAAAAAGAATACACTGTACAAGTAGAGATAATGTATCCTGTTAACTCTGGAGATTGTTTAACTTTTCCTCTAGCGCCCCCTTGAGGCTGAATTTTGTAGCTTTCAGTGAAATGTCTGAGCAACTGTTGGATGGATTGTCAAGAAATTTTGTACAGACATTCATGTCCCCCTCAGGATGAATTTTAATAATTGATCATCTGACTTTTCTCATATTAGGATAACTAAGGAAGACCGCTGAAACAAATAGTGAGACATTTTGGAAAATGTACTTACTACTGAGGGTTAGGTGAACAGGTCGATGCCACATGTCTGCCTGTTTAATATGAAGCTCCCTTTTCGCTCATCTAGGCATAAAGACTGGAAGCAGGAAGAAATGTCCAAAAATCCATCTAGCCAGAATCAGTCCTGCACATAACTCCCAGTAAAACCACAACTTGTCATTTTTACAGTTTGGTATTTATACTGGTAATACAAACAAGATATAACCTGTTAATTAGTGGGCTTTAAGGTTCACATAGGCAGTACTTGGACGTACTTGGACAAGCTGTTTCCCACTGCTTCCAGTCTTCGTATCAGGCTAGGCTAATCATCCTCTGGAATTTTGAATGTTAAAAAAATTGACTAATTAAATTATACGATGAGCCAAAAGCATATTTTAGATAATCTAACAAAGAAACACATTTGTGTGTAACATGAGGTCAAGCACCTGGAAAAGGCCTGACCCCCCTCCTAAGGGATAGACATGTTATATTGAACAATAAAATTATGTCATCTAGTTGTTAGTCTGTCAGTTGAGATGTTTATAAGGTTGAGTTGAATCGTATTATGCTCTACAGTGCAATGTTAGGATGTCTGAATTAATTTTAAGTGAGACTATGTCAAGTTTGAAAGAATGGTGTTCAGTCAAAGTTGCATAGTCTCACTTTAATGTACTGTGCAGTGATACTATAATACAGCCTGTGATTTACAGTTTACATGGTATTTGGAATGGTGAAATGACACACTGTAGTCTAAATATTTTACTGGGTACTTACAGGGTATTTTAGGGGAAGGGGGAAATAACTTACACTGCAAGTATTTTTGTAAGTACTGGGTACCTATAGAGTACATTGTGCTAGTATATTTGTATGTTTGTATATGGTAACATTCATTGTTTGTGTGTTTACTGTCTATATCATATGTATGTGGGTTCAACCCTTGACTGGTCTGGCAAAATAAAAATAAAATTTTCTTCTGTGTTTCCAGTTGAGATATAAATAGATGAGGTCATTCAAACGTCCGGTCTGTCTTTCTGCATCACCTGCTAACCTGTTTTGTATATTATCACCTTAGGATAGTTGTCATGACTCCAGTGCTTGTTTAACATGTAACAAAATACATACTTGACTTCCCCAGAACATTCATAAAGTCATATTCTCCAACAGAGGTACCATTCTGGTTTGCATAATTTCTCTCCCATGAAAAGGGTGGATCAAAGGTTACTAAAAACCTCTGACTGCTCGACTGAATCTAGCAGGACACAGAGGTGGAAATAATGCAAAAAGCGAAGATGCAAAGGTAAGTATTTGCAAATATAAAAGATACAAATATTTAACTTGGAAGCCTCTTCTGTGTGCATGGCGTGTGGTTACGGGTAATTATTTTTTGTGTTTGTCTGTGTGCTAGGATGTTCACAGGACGTGACACAGTATGCTATCTGATGAGACTATATTTATCATGGTGTTCACTGAAACTAGTCACGCGCTTTCACTATGAGTAGACACGATAAATGGGAAACTGCAAAAAATAACTCACTGTGAAAAACTGCCACGCTGCAAGCATCAAGGTTGATACACTAAGGATGTCCAACAACAGCCAGATGACTGGGATACATGGAAATACTTCACTTCTCTGTGGAAATGACCCTGTGTATTATACAAATACCATGGGTATTGTGGTGGACTGGGTGATATTCTTCGTAGGACTACCTGAAGTCTGCCTAGCCTGCTACGCTCTTTTGTGTCTACTCAAGAAGGACAAAGCCGCTCCAATCTTTGCCATAAACCTGCTCCTATCAGATCTCATTCAGATTGGGATCACAGTTGTCTTTATCATAAGTCGTTTTTTTGATGCCACCTTCCACCCCTTCGTCAGGGCCCGCTGCATCGCACGACTGTTTGTCCGCCTGGGACTGACCTCCAGTTTGGGTTTCATGCTGCTGATTTCTGCAGAGAGGTATTTAATGGTGTCCTGTCCAGTGTGGTACCGCACTATGAACACTGCAAAGTTATCCATCCTGATCTCAGTTTGCACGTGGATCTTTTCACTGGCCTACTCCTCTTTGGATTATATCTTCTTGATTCACACCAGATTCTCCTTGTTGCTGTTTTCCATCATCTGCCTCCTCCCTGCCCTGTTTCTTCTGGGTTTCTTCATAGCCACGTGGAAAGCCCTCAACAAGAGCACAGCCATGAGACATGAGAAGAAGAACAGGAGGAGAGTTTTGGGGGTTCTGAGCCTGGTGTTGGGGACATACATAGTTTTGTTCTTCCCCTTCTGTTTCAGAAACCTCTACTATGCTCTCAAAGGTGATAATGCCTCAGACAAGGAGGACACATTCAGGGATTTTTCCAGTGTTTTGACCAGTGCTCTGGTCTATCTTAGCCCTCTGATAGATGCTTTAATCTATATTTTCATCAGGAGGGACATAAAGGACACAATGGAAGCATTTCCCTGCTGCAAAAAGCCTCTGACAAAGCTCAGAGAGTTTCAGGACAAGCTAACAGACACTTCCCAGGCAGAGACAGCTTTATAATTAATTTGATAAGTGGTTTAAAAAGGGAACTGCATCTCTGGGGGAGTTTTTCATCACACCCCTTGCATGGTGACTTAGACTGAATCATCTCCTTCTGGCATGTTATGCCTAACTGCATTGCATTTCTGAACTGCCTCATGAACCAGAGGTGTCCTACATACATAAAGTCCTATCTCACAAAGTAGGAAAATTAAGTCAGCTGTAAAACCCAAACCACTATAATCATGCTCCACAAGTTTCTTATTTCAAGATATTTGTGAACACACACAATCACATTGTCTGAACAATTGAAGATGTCTTTGAGCACAAGCTGAAGTTTTCTAGGGGGACATTAGCTGACTTGTGAATTAATATAAATGTCTTTGCTTGTTACATGTTTTTACTGTTAGTTGATTTTTACTTTTACTTGATTGTTTAAAAAACAACATGTGCTTTATCTACACTTGCGGTTAAAGTAATTATTAAAATGATCAAGTGGAAATTTGCCCTATTTAAATATAAGGTACTCAAGCTAATTGCAACAATTTCTGTCTTTGGGAGACACCTAGTGGCTTTACTGATGTAAAACCACAGCACCTGTCAGCCATGGTGTGCCAGGAGACGTGGTGGGGAATTGATAAGACAATGCATCCAATCAACAAAACCAAAAGATTGTCAAGTTGGAAAATTGTCCAAGCAACAAGATGTTCTTTAACCAGGCTGCCTGTCCTGCCACAGCTCCATCTTTAGCTGACAGATACCGTAGTGGGCTGCTCCTGTGACACTGCAGGCTACAGATGTACCCTGCACAAACGACTGTAACACTCTCAAGCAGACTCATGTGGTGCAGCTGAACTGCAGAGGAGGAAGTGGGTGACTTATCTTAACCAAGATAATTAAGTTGTAGACACTGATATGCCATCACCACAGTTGGTCGCCTTTCAGCAACAGATACAGCGGGCTGAGTAAATGAATGAGTGATCACTGTAAAAATGCCCTAACAGATTTAGGACTTTTTTGGTTTTGGGTGAAATGTTCCGCCAACTATAGAATGGATTGACATGAAATTTGGTGCAGATATTCCTGATCCCCAGAGGATGAATCCCGATGGCTTTAGCGATCCTGTGACTTTTCCCCTAACAGATGTCAATCGTTCTCTGTAGGTGGGACACCATAGTCCACCTACAGAGAGGTGGGTGAACAAAGAACTAATATCCTTCCTGAAGACCTAACTTGATGAGAATACTGACAAACTGCATTTTCATTTTGACACCAAACCGGCATGCTGACATGTTAAAGAAAATGCAATAGACTGGGGCGCTTTTTACCTTATCACATTGAATATTGTCAACTGTACAGCAGACTAAAGCTTGATTCATGCTTAGTGCATTCACAAGTGTTTTCACGGCCAAAGAGACGTCACAGAATCAGGTACATCCTTTGTGGGGGTCTTGTATAGTGTGTTTTCGCCTGTCCATGCACATCCAAAATTTTCAACAACCTGGACGCATGTTAACGCAGGTTTTTGATACACTGCATCCTACTATTTGGGAGAATATCAGTTTGCAGTGAAGAAAAACTTGCACGGAGTATAAAAGATCCAAATGTTTCTTCATGTGGAAAGCACAACTGAGACTTAAGTCCTTAAAAAGGAAATGTGAAATCCCGTTATCATTTTCAAACTGTTATAAAATGGCATTTTTGTTTTAAGTTAAATATTACTTGCACAAATGGAGAGTCAGGTTATATTGTTTATACTGCATTTTTATGTTCAAATTTGAATTAACATTTGAATATTTCCCACTTTAAAACGGGGTATGAATTTGAAAATTAAATATCAAACAGTTTTTCCATTTTTATTTCATTATGGTCATAGAACGCCCATACAAGTATGTGAAAATAAAAATACAAAATGGATTATTGCATTTTCATTTTTACTGAAATAACACATATGAAACCACATTTTCATTTAAAAGTTTAGATGATCATTTTAATAAAGTCCTCTATGAGCTTCCATACAGTCAGACTAGATTTTAAATCTGATTATCTTACTGATTTAAAAATGCATATATTTTTTGCAGTGATCCATAACAAACCCAGGTGGGATGCTATAGCTATTCATTGGAATGTAAACACCCCTCAGACCTATTTTTTGGCTTTATTCATTTCTATTAAGTTGCTGTATATTGTCTCCAGTTGACCAAAATGTGATGGGAAGAGGTCCAAGTACCTGCTTTTGACTGTGAAGATGGTTGCACTAGATGACAATCAAGAGTAATTCTGGCTGTTAAATTAGACACAAAATAGCTAATTAAAGACTGGCATGAGAACCCACTGCATCCTTACACCACGTACAATGCCAATAACTTAACATTTGAAACAATTTTTGTTATCATTGAGACTAAATGTGATTTTAAAAATCAAAATATTAAAAATATTAATTCTGATTATTTTATGACAACGGGGTGGGAGTGGGGGGCAATCATGCACATCTGTCTAAATCCTAAATCACCGTCAGATTGATTCAGCCCTGCATTAGAGGTGTGTGTGCCCGGGCCTGCACTCCTATGTGAGATGCACACTGAGAGCCAATGTGGAGGTAACCGTGGTCACTGTTTCCCAGAGGACCGTCTGGCGGCGAGGGCCATTAATTATAAGAGACAGGGAGACAGACAGCTAGCCAGCTAACCAGACAGACAGAAAGACAGACAGTACCGCAGAGAGCGCAGACAGGCCTGACAAGATCAGGCCCCGACAAATACAAAGAGAGGAGGAAGAGCAGCACGCACGGCCAAGAAAAATAATCCTCCCCGTGTAGCGAGTACAGCTATCTGCACCGCCCCTGCTTCTCTTCCTGCCAGTGGACTATGAGTAAATACATTCAGGCATAATAACCCTTTGTCATAAGAGAAAGAAACGCGTTTTACGACGGAGATAAATAATTGAAAAAAATGCGGCTGTCCGACTGCGCATCCCTGGGAGTGAATAGGGAATTGCTGCGCCAGTGTCCCGGCTGAGAGACGGAGCCGATCTTACCCAACATAAGCTCCTGAGCTCTTTCCCCCGTGTCATTACACAATATCGCTGCCAAAAATCATCGTTTCAAACATGGTAAGTTGTTTTTGTGTTATATTTATTGCGATTATGTCGGCGACGAGCGGCCTGTGGGGGAAATGCACATCCGGGACTGTATTTTTTCGAGAAGTCATAATATTTTATGAATCATAACTTGTTATGATGTGGGAGCGCGCGTGGCGTGCAACAGGTCGCCGTACAGTAGCGGGGACGCGCATCTCACCGCCGTATTTTGCGCTTGTTTCAAAACATTGGTGTAAAAACGTGCGACCGTCGTATACGCGAACATATTGGCAAGATGGCACGAAAAATACGAGTGCGTTGTTGGCACAATGGAGTTCTGCTTTATAAAAGCAACGATATTAGTCCATCTCTTTTGACTGTTTGATAACTATGAGAGTTATCACTTCTTTCTCTTTGACAAAATATTATCGATCACGCGATGACGCGCATGTTTATAGCCTAATTGTTCGCTTTTTAATCATTTTATAGCCTATTGTACGGAAACCACTGTTCGATTTGCATAGAAGAGTATCCAGTTCCACTACAGATATGATAAAAGTCCGGAGTTTAACTATCATATTAAATGAATGGGTCTTCCACTATCCAACAAAGGAAGACCTATTTTAAATAATTCAGACACAAATCATTACCAGATCTGACTGGTAGGCTACCTTTTCAGGACCTATAACATTCCGACTTTATATCAAACCTCGGATGCATTTTATTATTCTGTCCAAGTCTCATAGAGAGAGAGAGAGAGGACGTGGGAGGGTGTTGGGGGGTGGGGTGTCACAGGGCCCGGGTGAAAAATTATTTCCCTCCTCACTCTGGCTGTGTCTTTCTTTCACTACCTCTCTCCACGTGGTAAGCAGTCGGGATGAGGGTGAAAAGGGAGCATTGTGCCTCCAGTCAGTGGCCTTATGTGTTGGAGAGGCTCTGAGAGGGTGATGTTCACTCAGCTGTGCTCCCTCTACGCCATTGTTGCAAATTCCACCAAATTCAGCTGCTCTGTTTACTGAGCTCACACAGGAGCCTGTTTTAGAGGTGGCGGGAGCACCATGAAACCTCACTCACCTTGAATAGACTTGGATATGCATGTGACAAGGTGGCCTCTGACACAATATGTTTGGGTTAATGTCAAGAAAAAAGCAGATATCATTTATCCGAGCCTGCTTTGGCTTTTGCGCCCACCTGTGCATAGAGTTTCCTTCTGTTCGGCACAGGAAAACACACAGTGAAAAACACACAGTGAGGTTCAGATTTTATATGCTCATATGAGTAATCGAAAGCTTAGGGAAAGGCCTTTATGTGATGAACTTGAGCGTCAATGTATGAGGGTTTACTAAAGAGAGGCAGTGGACTCTTGGCTCAAAAGAAGGGGTGTTCACTCGCTATTTGAATGCAAAGTAGTGGATGAACAAGTGAGCTGTGTGTGTGTGTGTGTGTGTGTGTGTGTGTGTGGAGAAGGAGGGCCAACGGTGAGTTTTGAGAAAAGGGAGACATGTTGAGAGAAACTGTCACACATGCCTCTTTGGCACCTCTGTCTTTCTTTGCACCACAATGCCACCAACGTGGACACGCTTCATTGAGACTAATCAATCCAGAGGATCCACTGTCACAGTTTTGGAGATGATACCTTAGTTCTTCTTCCTTTTTTTCCTCTAAGTAATTTAGATACCTACTTTTTTCAGTGTGCAGGGAGACAGAATAAAAGTTGTGTGTTGGCCAATGTGCCCCTGCGTCGGTCCCATCCTGCTGAAGCATGTCCCGTCGGAAACAGAAACGACCCCAGCAGCTTATGAACCTGACCCTCGGTGCCTGTCGGATACTTGAGCATGGTGAGAAATAGTCTACATATCAAAAGAATGCTGGGTATTCAGTGGGATTGGATTTACATTAAATGGGATGTTTAGAATTCAAATAATTCACTTTTTCTCAACATTACAGAGATTGTGCCAGTTAACAGCTAATACTGACAGTTTATTATGTTATGATATGTCTTGTGTATCATTCTAATGCGGGCCTTTTAACTGATGCTTTTTTGCACTTGTGACCTAGGATGACTTGTCCAACCTCATATGGTAAAAATCATATACCAAAATGTCATTATGGGTGCTTAAAACTTGTTTTTAATGTTGTTGATTAGAAAGTAATCATTTCGTCTCCATTATTATTTTAAAATGGTTTCTTACCTTACTTGTTAAACAGTTGAATCTATTTAATTTGCATTATGTAATACTTGAACGCTAAGAAAAGCAAGGCTTGTTGGAATAATTGGCCCACAGACAGTCTTTAATTCATTCTGTGTGGTTGCAGCCATTTGCTGCTTTCTTTGCCCTGTAAAACCCAAATGTCTTCACTCTTCATCACTGCCAGGTTCAAAGAAACAGACCACCCAGAATGGTGGGATATACAGTTAATCCCCAGAGAAATAATTGGAGAAAAATAAAATACATTGAATTTGAAAATGTGTTATGAGAAGCAAGATACAGGTTTGGTAGAAGCAAAGAGATGAACATGAGAAGGTTGGGGAAAAGAAACTTTGTGAGGCACTGTATAAGGTGTTCAAACTGCAATAGCATTAGACCCCATTGTCCCCTTTCAGCTTTGTTGCTGGGCACTGAAGCATGAACATACCCATGAAGAAGTGTGTGTGGGGGTGTGCACGCAAGTGTGTGTATTTGTGTCTGTCTGTTCACTCCAGTTACAGGAGTAGAGCCCACATTGTGTCATAAAACTGTAGCTTTCCAGCAAACAGAAGTTCTGTATGTGTTAGCAAGTGCATGAGCAGCCCTGTGCATACAAAGTGTTTGCTCTTTTGTATCTGTGTGTTGTGCATTGACAGGTATACTGGGTGTATGTGCTTTCACATCTGTCTCTCTATGATTTTTGGGGCTAAGTTAGCTTGTTGATGGTCTGTGAGTCATTATGTCTGTCTGCAGGGCTGTTTGTTTTCTTTGCACGCCACCTCTCTTCCTCTGCCTGGCCCTAAACAGGAATCAGGAATGCGACCTCAGAGTGTTTAAGGTCAAGTCTGCCAGCCAATCAGGCATCCAGTACAGTGTCCAGTACCCAACCAGGACCTAACTCTTCGCACCCCATAGGGCTACTGGGGGAAGGGCTCTTAAGGAGATGAAAGAAAGACAGATTGAATGGGGGAAGAAATGAAGAAAGAGGGGCAGGGATGGAAGAGTGTCTTAGTGTGGATGTGGCTTCTTTTTATTGGGTGGGGGGGTTAAGTCCATTGTCTTGTGCGTGTTGCCCTGGAAACAAGGTAGGCTCCTCCACGGGTGAGCAGTGTATTCTTGCAGATCAGTGGAATCTGTGTGTGTGTGTGTGTGTGTGTGTGTGTGCATGTGTTACATGACTTTGTGTGTATGTGGTGGTGACAGTGGTCGGGAGGCTGCAGTTGATGAGGATAGACAGGACAAAGAGGGAAGGTAAGCAGTGGTGGATGATAAGGAGGTGGAAATGAAGCCTAGAGGTTACAATTGTTCTCAGACAACTGAATTATTCCCTTTCCTAGGCATCAAGTAGCCCTCTATAATAGCATCCTTTACATCTTACTGCTCTTTTTTTTAAGTTTCTAAGTGTCCTGAAATGTGGATTAATATAGTAAAAGTAGCAAAATAGTCTTTTTAAAAAGCTATATTATAGAAAAAAGATTGTAGACTATTATGTAAACCTTAATTATTTTTTTTACCATTAACAATGATAAAAATTACATGTAGATTTTCTTCTTTCAATTTTTGTAGATGACAGCTTGGCAGTGAAGTCACACTCCTTTCAATTGATGCTGGATTCTCCCTTGTGCTCTCCATCGTCCTCTCTTCAAAGTTCCCAGCTGCCCATCACTCTCCATTCATCTTTCAAGGGCTCTCAGACCCCCCCTTTACCCACTGAAGATCCACCGATATCCTGCTCACCGAGCCAGCAGCTCAAAGACCCAAAGCCCTCCCTCTCTCCTGACTTTCCTGACTCATCCCTCTCTTCTCAAAATCAGCATCTTCCTGCCCTCCAACTGTCTGGCTGCATTGCTACGTCTTCTGCAAGTGCCCTCATCCACCCTTCCCGAAGTGCACACATGGCCTCTCCCAAGTTGGGGCTGTCAGCCACCACCACCACCTCTTCTTCCTCCTCATCCTCCTCCGCCTCCCTGTGTCCTCCACCACACCCTGGAAGCCCCAGCCGTGTTCCTGAGGGCCCCCCAAGTCCTGTTACCCCCACTCCCAGCCCAGGAGTGACATCTGCCTCAGCTGCACCCTCTAGGGCCCAACTGAGCATTGCCCTAATCCTGGAGGAGCTCCGGGTGCTACAGCAAAGGCAAATCCATCAGATGCAAATAACAGAGGAGATCTGTAGACAGGTGCTACGCCTTGGAGGAGCCTCCTATACCATAGATACACCCTCCCAGCATCTTCTCCCTCCCCTGCCACAGCTCTGCCTGGAAGGTAGCAAAAGGGCAGCCAGCCCAACTACCCAGCCAACTGCAACCCAGCCATCCACCTCTGTTGCTCCTCTCCTGGCATGTTTCTCCTCCCTGCTCCCTTCTCAGGGAGCTAACAAACCCACAAAGCCAAGCAGTTCCTTGTCTCAAATCCTGCAGCCCCACAAGCCCCAGATGGAAGGGACAGGAGGGACTGCGGGGCCTCATGGTTATCTGAGGGTGAGTTCTCGATCCTCAGCTCCCTCCACCTCTTCTTCTGCTGCCATCTCCATGGCTTCCTCTACCTATCCTCTAGCCTTGTCCTTAGCACTGCCCAACCGCTATCTTCATGAGAAATCTCCAAATACCACTTCAGTGAGTGGGTTCCTAAACTCATCCCTCCCCACAACAGTATCTATGGTGCCAAACTCCCCAAATGCTCTGCAGTCTTTCTCTGGAGGAACAGACTCTTCCTCTGCCTCCAGCTCCACCAGTTCTGGCCGCCTCCAACATGCCTGCCGCTTCTGTGGAAAAATGTTTAGCAGTGACTCTTCCCTACAGATACATCTACGCTCACACACAGGGGAACGGCCCTACCAGTGTCCAGTGTGCCTCAGCCGCTTCACCACACGAGGCAACCTCAAGGTGCACTTCCTACGCCACCGTGAGCAAAACCCGGAGCTCTCACTTTCACTCCTGCCACCTTCTTTATTTGGGGTAGCATTGGGGGCCACTGGGGGATCAGAAATGGGACAGACCATGAGCAGTGGTAGCAGTACTAGTGGCATGAATATGATACAAAAGAAGCCAAAATGCAGGCCTGAGGATGAAACATGTGGAGATAATGTTGAGGCCAGTGGTACTAGCACTGGTTTTTCTCTGGGAGCCTCTGGAGGATCTACCCCTTCCACCCTACCCCTGCCCCCTAGTGTTGACCTGGCTTTGATTTCCCACTCTCTCCTGCAGCTCAATAGGGCTGCAGCTGTAGCCGCTGCAGCCTCTATCACCTCTGGCTCATCCCACTCATCTTCCTCCTCAACTTCCACGTCTTCTCTGGCTACCTCCCTCCTCTCCAACCCTTCCTTGTCTTCGTCTTCCACCATCACAGGGTTATTCAAGGGTGCCAAACAACAGCACTTTGATGAGAACACTCCCCCTCACGTCCCAATGCTTTCTCCTGCTGCATACTCCCAGCTAGCCCACCTACCTAAGCTCCTTTTCCCATCTGTCTCTACTTCCTCATCTACCCCTGCAGCACACCCATCCCTCTACAACCATCCAGCCTTGGGCTTGCTACGCACCCCACTACCCTCTACTCCAGGCTCCCACCAACTTGCTTCTTCCAGCCATTCTCAGCTTTCTTTCCCCTTCTCTTCATTTCCTAAAGTCCCAGGTCCAACCACCAGCACTCCATCCTCCCTGCCCTCCTCCATGGCTACCTCCACTCCTACATCTGAAACCTCCAAGCTGCAGAGGCTGGTGGAGAAGCTGGAGAAGGCACCCTGCTCCTCTTCTCCTTGGACATCATCCTCTGCTTCCTCCTCCATGCTTGAGATGTTATCTAGCAGTGCCACTACCTCTTCAAGTTCAGCCAACAGTCGTTTCACAAATGCCAGCACTTCGACCACGTACGTCATGGCATCCCCACCATCTTCAACTCTCGCTTCCACTTCTGTTTCAAACTTCACCCATGAGATGGTTGCTGCCCTGGGCATGAGTGCCAATGGAGCAAGTGCAATGGCGGGGGGCTTGCTACCATCACTAAGCATCACAGGTCCAGCTGGTAACCTGACAACCAATCAGTGTGGAGTGTGTCTACGAGTTCTGAGCTGTCCTAGAGCACTGCGTCTGCACCAGGCTACGCACCTTGGAGAACGCCCTTTTCCATGTAAGATATGTGGCAGATCCTTCTCAACCAAAGGCAGCTTGCGATCACATTTGGCCACCCATCATGCTCGACCACCTAATGCACGTGTCCAGAACTCTTGCCCACTGTGCCAGCGAAAGTTCACTAATGCCCTAGTGCTCCAGCACCACATCCGTATGCACCTTGGTGGACAGTTGCCCACAGATGGCACAGATGATTCTGCACATGAGATGCAAGCTGAATCTAATGCCAAACCCTTGTCACAATCACAATCCCAGCCCACTGACCCAAATACTGTCTCAAGTAAAACACCTCCTCTAGCAGGCCATTCCAAGAGCCCAAATCCAAGCTCACCATTTCAAACTCCAGCAGTTGGTTCAGTCCCTGTATCTGGCAGTACGAAATCGGTTGAGTTTACCAAAAACCCCAGTAAATCTGGGTCCTCCAGCCCAGACCTCATCCCCCCTGCTGACCTTAGCCCTGACCCCTTCATGAATCCCACCACACAAACTCCACCACCAGGCAGTGTAGAACCCCCTGTTCTTTGTGTCAGTGCCCCCTTGCCAGCCTCCCAGCAGACAGCTCAAGCTTCCCCAGTTGGCAAAGACAACCAAGCTGAACAAGCCACTGCTGACATCCATCTTCCTAAATCCACCCCCTCACCAATATCCTCCTCTGTCACCAAAACCACGGTGTTATCTAATGCTATGGTATTGGACTGCAGAGAGGATGAAGCACCTACCTCCTCCGATGCCTTCCTTGGCTCCAGATCAAACCTGGAGGACTTACAAAGCACACCTGCCCTTGGTGACCCCTTTGCTTACACCTGTCCCAGTACCTCCTCTGACCCCATCCCAAGTCAAGATGTTTCTAATGTAAATGCAACACCAACCTTGGAATCAGAGTCAGTCTCCCCAAGGCCCCAATCACCAGAACCCATGGAAGAAGACAAAGATCAGTCCTCCACACCAGCAACACCAAAGCAAGACCAAGCAACTGTGCCTGATGATGACTCCAACATGACGTCCACTTCGGAGACTGCTGACACTATTACTGTTGAAGTAAGGGGTGCATCACAGAGAGCTGCCACTTTTGTGAGGGAGACACGTCAGAGCTTTCACTTTGGTTCATTTGGAAGGGAGGACCGGGTGGAAGGTGTTAAGATTAGTGGACTGGCTTCAACTGAAGCACTGGATGGTTCTGTCCCCATCAACCTTGCCCCAACCCTTCCATCTCCAATGTCTCGTCCAGAGAAGAAGACCTATTGCTGTGCTGAGTGTGGAAAAGAGTATGCCAGTCGCAGTGGACTGAAGGTGAAGAAAAAATTGTATAAAAATTGTATAAAAATAACTATACTGACAAGATGTATGGATATATTGGCACAGTAACTGTAGTACAATGCTTTTTTAGAAGATTGAAACAATATTTTAAAGCTTTAGTGCAGAACTAAAGATCTAAAATATAAAATTCTTTATGTGTAAAGAATTGCTAAAGAATGCTTTATGTTCCAGGGGCACATGAAGCACCATGGTGTGCTAACCAAAACAACACGCCCACCTGCCAGGAGTAGCCGTTCCTCTGCTGACCAACTTCCTTCTTCTACATCTATGACTTCCTTGAACATTCCTGCCACCAGGAGCTCAGCAGGCTTCTGGAACCAGTACCAAGCCTTCCTCAACAGCAGTAACGAGCCAACTGATGACCCAACAGCTGGCAGCCAAGGAGAGAATGAGTCAGCACAGTCGACAAAATCACCCAAGAGATCTCAGATGGATCCAAGAGCCCCAGAGGAAGCTGGGGAAGAGTCTAGTGAGGGGTCATAACTCGACTATGAGGAATCAGCTGGTTAACATTCTGGTGTTTTCAATCAATGTTTACCTTTTGGTGAAACTGTATGAACATTTGCGTAGTACTGCTTCCTTAATACATTTCCAGTAGCCTGTCAGTTTGATAGTCAGAGTAATATGTTTGTATGTGAAAGTTGTGAGTCAGTCAGCTTGGTCTTGTGTTAAAAAAAAGGAGACAGCTAATGTACAAATAAAATGAAAATAATCAAGAAGTAACATAGTCAAGTTTTTGCTGGATTTGATGATAAAGTGACACTACCTTTGTTTGGCTGAAGTTGTTAATAGTTTGATGCACCTTCTATCAAAAAAAAAGTATCCCCGTTGTATCAATGTATCATATCAGACCTGGGTAAAATAATTTTGAGTTTTTGCTCTTTTCAGCAACAGGCACAGGTAGATAAGACTTATCACATTTGAACTAATTTGATATTATTAGCTAATGTGTGAGTCATAGGATAGTACACTTAAAGATCTGTTTCAAATAACATGAATGTCAGTATGTAAACAATGCGGTACTCATTGTGTTGTGCCATGTACCAAATTTGATCCACTGACACCAAAGGAGGCTCAAGCTAACCAAAATTAATTTCTTTGCCAATGCTCCCAACCTAGGTCTGTTTCATATCTAAAAGATTATTTCCTTTTAGTCACAGAGGGAACTGACAAAAATGAGGAAATTAGGCAAGCTAAGTTTTGCTTTGTGAGAGCACACAAGGCCAACAAACTGAATGTGTTTCTGTGGGGAATATTAAGTCTTTTGTCCCCCATCTTGTGGTTCAGATAAACTACTCACTGATGTCATTGTGATTCACTTTTCACTATATTGTCCTGTCGAACCAGAAGCACAGCTGCAGTGTTTGTGAACCCAGTGAGGACATGGTCTTGTGTGTGACCTTTGACCTTTAGCTTTGTGTATATTATGATTGTTGTTTGGTCCAAATGTAATATCTGTAACACTTTTTCAGTTACTAAAACTTTAAGTTGCAATATATATATATCAGAAGTCTATGTCTGTTTGTTGTAAGCTGTACTTTCAGTATCTCCATATTAAAAACCAGTTTGGACAAAAAATATCTTGCTCTGTCTTGAGAGAATTTGACATCACAAAATGTGTATTAAGTGGTCTACTGACTTATTATTTTCCATAAACACAGCAGGTATACATGCGCGTAGGCATTTGCATGTCCAATTATAACGTCCATGATCCCTCACAGTTAGACATCATTGATCTCTGCTCTGCCAAGACAATCAAAGCTCCCCTCTCTTGTGTCTCATCAACTAAGGGGAGTGGAGGAGGCCAGCTGTCTTTCCTTAGCTATGGCCAGCGCAGCAGCTGAGCTCCAGTATGTGTGCACATAAGGCTGGTAACAGGAAACATGTCTCAAGTCTTAGAAATTTAACTCAAAGTGTGTATGTATTTATAACTTTGTCTCTGTATGCATGTGCACACATAGCAGATAATAACGCATCCCACCTAAGGCGTTTATGATCTGGGATCAAAGCAACATTGTCTTTACAAAGGTAGAGAACAACGATTTTCTGTTTTAAGTAAAAAGTGGCACACAACACAAAATATTCCGAGGTCAGTGTGATGCACGGATGTAGCAGGAGGTTATACAGGCTACCTCAGTTGACATGTCAGTGTATAAATGTATGTGCAATGTATGCGTTAGGGGGCGCAATTTCCCTTTTTAATACAGTTTGATGCTGCATAATGTATGTACATTGTATGTTTGAGGCCTTTTGAGCAGCACTCATGAACAATCAGTGTGAGATAGTAAACATCTGTTAGTGTTAAAAACATTTCATTACATAACAGACTGTAATAAACTGATAATGAGTTTCTCATGTTTAAGACCTAACAGCGTGAAAGAATTAGTTTAACAAAATTTGGTCACTGGTCTTAAAAAAGGCTGAGGGGAAAACAGATTTTAAGCTGGCAGGATGGCTTAACAAATTGATTAATTGTATGATAATATATATATATATTTTCTTACTTTAGGCTTATTAATAAAACACCCTGAAATTTAACACATTTTCGAAATAAATTAATTGTTTTCCAAATAGTTTTTAGCCGCGTAATTTGTTAACGACTCTGTCTATTATGTTTGCGCACTCTTCTCTATAAATAATAACAGCTTCGTGCATTTTATGGAGCATCAAGGCATTTAATCACAACCTAGGGGTAAAATCAAACTATGCCAAGTCTAATGCGAAGGTCACCAAGTTGATTCCAGCCCTCCATGTCAGAGGGGCGGGCTGATTTCGGAGGGGGAGGTTTACAATCCTCTACTTTCCAGCTAAGGTCTCCAGGGAGTATCAAACTACCACGTCTGCAGCGGGGAGAGAGGGGAAGAGGAGAGGGGATCAAAATAAGCCGACTGGAGGACAGAGAAGAGAGGACAGCGAAGAGTCAGGACTGCTTCATGAAAACAAAGTCGGCTGCAACATCTGGAGCAAAGCGCAAGCTGACTTTGGACATAAAATACGCACAGCCTGCAGCTCCAAAGCCCCCCTCCAGACTTCCTGCTTCCAGTAACGTCTGATAATCTGGTTAAAATTCACCAAAACGCGAGAAGAATGCACAGGCTGGACAAATACCTCTCGTGGTTTAGGTAACTCAAGTAGGCTAATAAGTTGCAGAGGCGCGTATCTTTTGGAAACTTTTTTTGTGCTTTGCGCCAAGTCGACCTTGGTTGCACCGTTTTCGTTTATGGGATTTCGCAAACAATGTTCTGACATACAGCAAAGTTAAGATTGCGCAAAGTGTCACGGGAAGACCTGTCCATTTTTGTATTGTTTTCGGGAGAGTCAAGTGATGGCACCAGAGCTCAAATCGCTTGTCCGACTGCTGCTGCTGGCGGTGGTGTGGGAGCTGAGCGCCCAGGGAGCGACGGAGCGACAAGTCAATCCAGAGGTGAGCAGTAGAGGAAGGGGTGGAGAATAAATCCACAATGGAGGAATAAAGCAAGATAACAAAACAAATCCATGATTAAACAGTGAAGTTAGATAAATAAACACAGGATCAAAGAATAAAGCTAAATAAAAACATTCAAGCTCAAGAAAGTCAGCTATATATCTACTATTAAAGAATAAAGCCAGATAAATAAATCTACAGATTTGTAGTAAAGCCAGAAAAATAAAAGCAGAGATTAATACATAAATAAATGCAGACTAGATAAAACAAAATAAATAAATGCAGAATAGAGGAATAAATCAGATATATATTTCCAAAATACATCATTAAAACCTGGTAAATGAATCTAGAGTTGATGAATAAAGCCAATTATTATGAGATTGACAAAGACAGGATAAAGGGAGCGAGGTTAAGGAAATACATTAAGGGCTCAGAAAGGTTAAAGAAAGGTTTAAATTATGGGTTACTGAGAAATACAATTAACCCCAATATGTAGGATTAAAGGATCTTTTCTGTTACTAATTTTAATCACAGATTTTCTATATTTCACTGACCCACACATATCCTGGTTTTGTTTATGACTACCATAAAGTCTTTGTTTAAACCCTGCATCCTGCTGGATAGTGATATCAACAGTTGCCTGTAGTTGGTGCAGGAATATGGGAAGGGCTTTGACCCTGGGTTAGAGGAAGCAGCCTATAATGATGATAGCGCTTGTGAAAACACTGAGAAATGCTGAGAGGGCAAAAGCAGCAGAGCAAGAGAAAAAGCAAATGAGGAGAAATGCATGAGCTTGTATTGTGGTCAGGGCAGAGACAGAGGCAATTTTTGTGGGAATGGAGGGGGGATTGATAGTTGTGGGTACAGTTATATTCAGAGGGATGGGGAGATGTAATTGTTGACATCTGTCCCGAGTTACGGCTTAGCGGACTGGGGGGAGGTGGGTTTTACAGTCTGAGAGGTTCTGCAGCATCTTAGCCATGGTCAGTTGTGGAAAAACACCCACACTTTGAACTCTGGTTCTGCACATTAAAGACTTCCAATAACCCACTGAGCTGAGGTATCAGCTCTAAGGAGTGATGTAGATCAGGGAGGACTGAGATTTTCCTGTTCTTTTCTGTTCTAGTTTTTTTACTCAGATTAGATCTGTTCTGTTCTGTCCTGTCTGTGTTGCAGGAAGTGACATTGTTACGATACCCCCACACACCTGCTTCCTTTAGTATCATGAGTAAATACTTTGTCTTTATGTGTGTGTGTGTGTGTGTGTGTGTGTGTGTGTGTGATAGTTTGTGTACATGCATAAGACCAGAGAGGCCCAAATGACTCTGGTAGGTCATACAGTGGCGCCAAACGTCTCTCTAATCATTGTCCCCTGTCTATGGAATTATAATTCCAGCTGCACTAGTGGAAGAAAACTCCATTGACCTACATAAAACTGTCAACCTAAAGGCACAGTCCGTAATTCAGATGTAACCTGACAAGCTGGCCCACCACCGCAACTCAAAACTCAGGATTGGAACCACTTTTAAATTTTGTTATTTAAATCAACAACAGTTAAATCTAAGTTATTATTGTCTTCTGATGCTGTTACAGGGGTGTTTCCATCAGTAATATTTATAACAAGAAGGCAAAATAGGCCTTTATTCTCCAATCATGACCAATTAAGAAACACAAAATAATATATATATTTTTTCTCTATAAATTAAATTACATATGTATGAGTCATGTTCACAGCAGCATATATTTAGCTTGTAGCTAGTGGCTGACTTGGTAGCTATAGGGAGGCAAATTTCAAGGAATTTACTTTATCAATTATTAGATGAGTTAACAACCAATAGTTGGTAAATTGTCAAAAGTTGACGCAATGCAGAGAGCATGTTTTTCCACAACAACAGCGTTTCTAAACAATGCTTTCACTTAAATTTAAGGTGCTTCAAATCACTTTTTGAGGCTAGTCAACAACTGATCAAACAAGTTTTTTTAATCATTTATTGTAGCAAATAATGCTAACCAACCTCTAGGCTTCAATAAAGGACATAAGTAAGTTGAGGCTGAACATGCTAGGCAGATCGAGCTATTTTCTTAGCAATGTCTATGCCATTTTTCTTGTATCAGCAAAAAGCTGCTGGAAAAGTCTGAGTAAAAAAGGTATTCACACATGTTTTTTGCCTGTAGTTGTGGGTGGAAGACAACAGGAGTGTCATAGTAATCATCCTTTAATTAAATGTATGAATTAAATTAAGAAGATGTTACTTTGGAAATAGGTTTAGTCATACAGATATATAACACAAAGAGTCCCTTCATTTTGAGCTGATCAAAAATAAACCAAAAAAGAAATGCAACATCAACATTCAACAGCCAATAATCCAACAATCAGAGCACACTGAACATGTCTAATGCCTGCATAAGAGAAAGCAGAACTTTAAGTTTCAATATATGAATACAAGTGATTTTTAAGGTCAAAAAACAGTTGGAAATTTGCAGTGGCGGGCTTGGCATTAAAAGCTCTGGAAAGTGTGTTGGTTCAATAAGTTTATGTTCATTTAGTGATTCACCTCCTCTGTTTTTAAGATGTTTTTCTTAAACCACCGCTTCCTGTGTCTATATATACTTCAGTCAAACAGGGGATGTTTGTCATCTTACATGTTGCCTCCGCAAACCCACAAGTCACCAGTATCAGGGCACAGTTCCGTTATTGAGTAGGATGCTTGTGTTTTAATTAACAATAAGTCATTAAGTAGGTGGTTGGTCAGTCAGTCTGTGTTGGTGAGATATATAGTTAGAAGGTGCAAGGATGCAGAGGTTGTTTCCTGTGGTTTGTAGCAGAGACAGGAAGTGGGCAGCGGGTTTTTGTTTCACCGCTAAAAACACCTTGGTGTGTCAGCAACCACCTGTCTGTGACACACACACACACACACACACACACACACACACACACACACACACACACACATCTCCTTTCATTTTTGCACAGATCTTATTCTTATGTGCATGCATGCAGACATGGCTACAAGCTGAGGTCATTCACTACAGAGGAAGATAAATGGACATGAAATGAGATGATGAAAGCAAAGCAGGGAAGACAGTGGGGAGGCTGTTGATGACTAGAAAGGGGGGCATTGTGGTGATGGGAGTGATGCAA